AAATACGACCGTTCCTGACGCTCTAATGATTCATTTGCTAAGCAAATGAAGCGAAGGGATTGGTATGAAGCGGCCGTGATGCTGCATGCATACATGGGTACACATATGCAGCCGTATCTTCGGTAGCGGTGATTGGTAAGATGCCTACGGGAAACTCGTCCGAAATCGATTTACAAGTCACTGAGAACGGAGGCTTTTTCTTCGCAGGATTTTGACCGTTTCACTCCGTTCTTTCGCCATTTCCCCACTATACAGCGCCCTACTAGCATTTTAGGCTAAGTAGGAAACCATCGTGCCAACTGCCTTTGAGTCGAAGTAACCACCTCCAAGAACCGCTGTAAAATGTTCAAAGAGGTTAGTGGAGTAAAACGAAGCACGGTTACAGTGAAAAAAAAACTTTAAAAGGGCAATGTGGATAAAATTAGATATGCAGAACGCGAAACATGTTATACTAACAGTGTCATCACTAACCAGAAAAGGTCAGCAAGTCAATCCGGCCATTTTCAAAGAGGGGCACACGATTGTACGCGTCTTGAGACGGCGAACTCAAATTCTATTCAGAATTTGTGGAACGATTCTCTCGGCGGAGTCATAGAGGTTTTTCCATACAATTTTTTCATGCTGGTACCTGTAGCGCGACGCACAACGTTCTGCGTGCAAAATGGTTGTCATATTCGTGTTCAGAGAGGCAAATAACCCCTGTGACGGCACTCTAGCAAAATTTGAGATTATGAAAAACTTCGAAAAAAATGGGGTCGGGTCAGTCATGGATGAATCGCGGCTACCACAGATAGTAGGACTAGCCTATTACTGATGACTGGTTTTCAAGTTGAATCAACTCTTTAGTCACTTTTTTTTGCAAAGAACAATACCTGGCTCACGTACCGCACCATCTGCACAATTTTGCAAGGAAGTCAGTATGCCGAACCTAATAACGTATCTCCTAGACTACTTTTGCTTAACAGTGTACTGGCAGGCCCTTCTATCATTAGATTTCACTATACCAGTCGGCTCTACAGAATCAGGAAATGGCGAAGTTTCTTCAAGTACTCAGTGTCAATGCTGCTATTCGATCACTCAGAGCCTAATGAAGTAGATGAGTATTTCGTCCAGAAAAGATCATGAGATCAGATCCTAATAAGTTACACTTACCACAGCTTCTTTGCCTAGGTTCTCCCTTGAACACATATATCGATAGAGAACATTCTTCAGGTACTGAAATGAAAAACTAGTCAGTAATCAGTTTTACAATACACTATATTCCAAGCACAAATATAGTAAGTTTTCGGGCGCATACGGTCCATAACGTGTAGATGAGCAGGGCGTGACTGCGTACTTCACTTGAATTCGGCAACTGACTTTTTCATTTTTTGTGGGATATTTCCTCTCGGGACAACTGCCATCCTGTCTAGTGTTCAACGAAGAAAAGATCAAAACTGTCCCGAAACGGCAGTATCCCGTCAAAACCGCAACGATTACCAGGTTTAAACGAAGTACAGCCACGCCCTCACCATTTCTAGGGTACAGGGTATGCTCGATGGAATCTTTTTGGGAGAAGCCGTCTCACCTCTGCTTCAGCAGGATCAGCAAATCCCAGACCGTCATGCAGACCACCACCATTCACGTTGATAACTGCTGGGGAACTCTGAATTAGTATCCTTAATGACTCAAAAAAAACAGTGCACTTTGAAAAAGTCAACATACCGGGCTTGGATTCGACTGCTCCAACAGCCGTTCAAGACGTGAATTGGCTTCTCGTAACCCATCGACTTCCCTATGACAGTCTTTCAATTTACGTCGCATTGACTCCAATTCTTCTTCGTACTAGAACAAAGAGCTTTTATAGTGCACACGACAACAAGAACAGGATGGCGCAGTTCGGCGACGACGAGGGATTTTTCACTTCTGCTACTCCCCATCGACAGCCAACCCATCTAGAGCCTTTTCGTGAGCTGACAGGTTTCACGATTGTGGCTCGATGAGCATGCTCCAGCTTCAATACATAATTCAAAGGTTTCATCTGGTAAAGTATGCAAATCTCAAGTAGTGGGGCCAACGAAAGCGCAGCCCCCCATCGCCGAACTGCGCCGCGATGGATGGCAGTCGGACCCACACACTTAGGGACCCACAACTGAAATGTGCGCAAACAGTGTGAAACAAGCAGCGAAAACCCGACTTTAATGATGAAAATCGGTAATTCGTACACTAAAACCGCTCTCTGACTGATCAACAACACCTGAGTCACCTCTTTGATTGGTTATTTCTCTTAGTAGGTCAAATGTTTAACTACTTCTGCCAATCGAGTTTATTAGATGGAACCTTTAATTGGACTAACGTTCCGACCTTTTCCTCTTCCCGGAGGTCTGAAACAGGCTCGAAGCTTTTATACCATCTTCACTTTGAACGCGCACATTTTCAAAACTAAAATCGGATACCTTTCAAACCAAATCGAACACTTCCCAAGCCAAAACGAACACTTTTCTAATCAAGTGGACTTTTTTTGAATTAAAACAGACGCTTTTCAAATCAAACCACCACACACGACCCTCAATGGGCAGGTTGAGAATAGAGCACTAGTAACTGCAGTAAGCCCCGCCCCAACATCGGCGCCCACTTCTTAGCGCGGTCATGGTTTTCCAAAATGTTTTGTGAATTCTGCTTCATCGATTTTTTTCGAGCGTTTCTGCCTAGCTGCAGCAACCCTTTTAACTGAAACGAACTGGTGCCGACACATGATTATGACTCCGCCTAACCTTTTAAAATGAAGCGAACGCAAGTTTTTGATTTAAAACTTCTTTCGACGTCGACTCTTTTCACCCTGTATCTCACAAAAAACGAATCATACTCACAGCCATGCATTGCACACTGCACACGGTGAGCCCTGCCTCTGTGATCAACCCGCCCCCTTTCGTGTTTGTCGCAAAATTTTGATTTTTTCTTTCCAAATCTTCTAACCTTTTAAAGACAGCTGTCCCCGCGCAATAAAAAGTGTCAAGGATAATTGCTGATCAATTATGAAACAGTAGCTGATAAGTAATTCCTCAATGAAGGAAAAAAGAAACAAGAGCCCTCAAGAACACCATAAACAAAATCGCGCCCTGACAGTCACACCTCCCTGCGGTCTCTGTGCAAGCCCTGGCTCACAAATCACTTTGTCACATCTCCCAGTAGTGGATATCATCGAATGCGAAGAAAAGAAAACAAAAAACAACAGAAACATAGAGGAAAAAACTCCCGAAAAGAAAAGGAAACATTTAAAAAGCCGGCGTCCGAACTTAGGGTTACGGTAGCGAGCATGTTTTAGTGTAGTGAAGTGCGTCGAGCTTTTGCACCACAGAAATTGCATCATTCGTGATTTTTACGCGTTTTACCTTACGAGATGGGTTGCTGTTGACTGTACGTGCTCCCAATGAATAAAATGTGATGAAGGAGAGCAGAATTATTTACGAGCACGAGCGCGGTCAGCAAAAATACATGCAGTTCCGATTAATGACTGCCGTCCCAACAAGGAACAACTGAGCGGCTCTCCGTCAGAGGGCAGCTAGTGAGGCGGCGGTCCAACTGAGCAGGCGTTAGAACTAGAACTTTGAGCGGTTCTAGCTCGCTCCTCGCTCGCTGAGGAGTCGCGAGAGTGAGATAGTATCTAGCTTGGGGGCTGAACTACCTGCCCAAGGAAGGACGACCATGTACTACTTGAGCGCGGGGGCTGTCTTTAAGCGCATTTCCCATACCATACAGCTATCCCAGCTTCATCTGGATCCATAATCCATTGCGCTGTTTTTTTTTTACTGTGAGCAAACCTTCTTCTTTAGAAACCCTCTCACTTGAGCGCGGGGCTGTCTTTGAGCTGCAGCAAGTAGCTCCGCCCACTTTGAAAATGGTGCAGATTGGCGTGCTAGAGTTCGCACTGGCAGGCTATGGCCTCTCTCGTCACACAGGACGAAAAAACAGAAACTTTCTCGGGAGAGGCCATAACCTGCCAGTACGGACTCTAGCCCGCCGATCTGCATCATTTTTCAAAAGTGGGCGGGGCTTCTACAAAGTGGGCGGAGCCACTTGCTACAGCCTAAAAAAAGTGAAAATTTGAAGAAAAATCAAAATTCCGCGAAAAACATAAAAGGGGCGTGGTCAGAGGGGCGGGGCTTAGTGTGCGAGTGTGCAAATGCATGGCTATGAGTATATTCGTTTTGTGAAGATTCAATGTGAAAAGATCGACGTCGAAGTAACGAAAATTCATAACTTGCGTAACACCATTGAAAAGTGGGCGGAGTCGTGAAAAAAAATCGAAGAAGCAGAATTCATAAAACATTTGGAAAACCATGACCGCGCTAAGAAGTGGGCGGGGATGTTGGGCGGGGCTTGCAGCAGTACCTAGTGTGCTCTAGTTCTCAACTGCCCATTGTAAGGGGTGTGTCCGATTTGATTTGAAAAGTGTCCGATTTGGTTTGAGAAAGTGTCCGATTTACCACCTAGCCGACCGAAGGCCCTTCCCACTTCAGCGTTTCCGACCACGTATCCCGATCGCTTTCTAGCGACCCAGTAATAACTGCGAATAACCCACTGAAGGTCCCACCGTGCGGAGCCTAGCTGCGTCAGTAAGACTAGTAAGAGCGAATGAGTCTCACTTGAGTCTCGGACTTCCTTGTATAATTCAAACCAAATAATGTAACCAGTAATGCTGGGAGTAATGCTTTCCTTTCCTCACAAAATTGCTCACATAAAGTTTTGAACAGTAGGATCATATGGTTAGATCGGTAAATCTCTCAGTACATACCCCATAATTTGGAGAAGCGTCCACGTCTGTATGAGTTTGTTTTTGAATCACAGCCTCTTCGACGGATTTCGAAGAGCTCGACTCCAATTCTGAGATTCGAGTCCGCGCCATATCAAGCGCGTCAGTCTTCTCATTCAATTCCACATAAAGCTGTTTGACCTCTCTTTGTAGCTCCCGTACGGCCTGAAAATAAGTCAAAGCATTGAAGACTAAAATGCAGTATTTCTTCAACTTCTCCTCTTTTTCTCTACTCACCTTCTTACTATCGCTATCGTGCTTGGCAGCTGCTTTACGGAAGCCTTCCTCGTTTGCCTCTTCTAGGGCCTTAATCTGAAAGCATTCAA